CACTCACTTAAACATTAAGTTTGCAATCATCGCAATGACTGTCAATATTTTATCATTTTCATAAAGCACAAAACAACTTATTTAGATAGTATTTTAATTAAGTAGTAACGAAATGCTCCCAAAAAAGCAAAATTAGAAATCAAATTTTAATTATCGTGAAATAAAGATTGGAATTGGAAACTCTTTTAAGCTAATTAGCGATTCGTTCTTGCCTTAAAAAAATCGAACCGTAAAAATTTCAGTAGTCTCACAAGACTTCCTCTATTCGATACTTTCATTAGCCAAAAAGATGCTCAATCATGAAGTCAAGAAGATGGAAAAAAAAAGTGAAAATGGAAGTAAAGAAAATGAAAGCAAACAAAATCTCATTTTACCATCTTAATGGTACTCAACTTCTACTCTGGTTTATAGATTCAGATGAAATAAATATCATCGGTTTGTTGAATTCATTTAATGAAAATTGAAACTAAAAGAATTTTTAAGAGGAAAAGTAGCATTAAATTATGGATTATTTTTATGGCTTCCCGAAGTTTTAAAAGCAAAGTCAGTCGGTTTACATTTTCATTCAAACATTCTGTATTGGTTCTCAAATGCCATAGTATTTGCATGTCATCGAATTCCACAAATGTTATTATAAAAAACCAATTATAATACATAAAAGTGCTGATTTAGAAGTTAAGAGCTTATAGACTTTACATTTTATTTGCAAAGCTTTGATTCAAAATTTAAAAACTTAATTCCAAACAATCGATAATCTAAAATTAAACTTAATTAAAATTAAATATTGAGCAACAATGAAACTCCAGCAAAAGTGTTTTTCATCATCGAAAGTAGTTAATTATCGAGCGATCGTAAATTCAATTATCAATTCATTAAAAAGTAATTTTAAAAATTATATGCATTGAAAATCCCCACGATATTCCAATAATATCTTTTGAAAGGAGTGAACAAAGGCTGGCTGGTTTATCAGTTGCTCTTTAAAGATTGCAACATTTCTCGTGCAGTTTAGATGTTTTGAAATTTTTAATAGATGGGACTTTGAGGAATTGAAGATATGTGGCTGAAAAGTTAAAAACCAGAGACTGAATTATGATTTATAGAAAAAGTCTTGGCTATAGGTTAAAGTTTAATGCGATCAGATCACATAAACATTTGGAAAAGGGGAATTCACCTTGTGACAATTAATTATTGACTTTAAATATATTTTGACTAGCTTTACTCAAACCATAACAAAATTAGTTTCACCAACACTCGAGATTTCCCATTCTTAATAGTTTAAATCAGCAAATTCCATGACTTCCTCCATTTCACGATTCAACAAATTACTGCCCATCAAGACTGAACAGGAATTTCACACTTTCTGCATAAAATCTCGTCCATAAAACAAGAGCTTAATTTCTGCTTCTTGAACAACAAAAACGTGAGACTGATCAGATTACAATCCAAAAAGAAGCTAATGAAATTATGAATTGCAAATAAAATAATCAGTTTTCTATTCCCACTTACATGCAAAGGTCAGCATATTGCATTAACAAACACGGTCTCGACAAGAATTCCAATGGAATGCACTCCACAAATATATAAACATTCTTCATCATAAAATGTGAAGTTAACTCGTATGTGGAATGGGAAAACAAGACGAAGTAGTTTCTTCTTACAACAATCGAAGCCGAACAATCTCTTCTTAATGTTGTTATGTATTCAAGTGATTTTGTTTACACAACGACTGCCAATACACAAACACAGAGTAAACTCGTTAAGGCTCTCTTTTATTATTCCGAAAAAAAAAAATAGTCAATTGTGTTTGTTGTCGATCCTCAAACATCGTCTATGTTAATTGATTATTGTTACCTAGGTTGTAGGTATATCACGATGATTTTTCAATTTGTGCACTTACATCCAACATGTACATGATTTGTGTTGCGAAAGTATTGTGCCGTCACACCTCTAAAATAAGCGAGTTATGGATACAAACTATAATCTAAGATAACTTTCTTAAAACAATTGAGTTTTTAAGATTGAAGTTGATGATTGTGGATAAATGAAATGTTTCTCATCAAGCACCAGATATCTTTCCAAAGACAAATTTAAATGACACCCGAAAAAAATGTGCTTGACAATTGAATTCAGAGACATCACAGTGTGTGACTTTTTTTTGTGTTTGTTGCTTGATATTTCTTAATCCCCTTATTGTTCCTACTTTTACTGTGGCCATGCGGCACATTTGTGACTAAATACCTCCAACTTTGAGCGAATTTATGGAATTGAAAGTCATGACAATGAGGAATTAAAAAATATTTTCTGACTGCTCTTTTACTTGTTTTATCTTTTTATAGGCATTGAAATAGAAATGAAAATATTAAAAAATGTGCTTTGTGTCTTTTTCCACTCACACGACTTTTCCTTCATTATTTTAAAAATAAATAAGTTTTCTCAAATGGGAACACATTATTAGTTCTGGATGTTCGTTGTAGCTACTGATTCAAAATTCAAATTATTTAAGTTTTTAAGGAGAAATTAAAATTTTTCTTTTTTAAGTTTTTATTATGAATTTCAAAATCATTTCTTGTCCATTTTCCCCTTCCATAACAAAACATTTCAACATCTCAACTCTAAAAATAATCTCATAATTGACATTTTAGAATAAACAGATTTTCAAGATGCATAAAAGACATTTGTTTATCTCATTTTATAGCCAAACTTTCAACTTCACCAGAATCTTCTCTTTAATGCTCTTTCACATGCTCACATGAGTCATTCCGATTATCATTCTTTAGCACATGATAAAAAGATGCAAGATATATAGATGGGCTCATACAGAGTATACTTGACCATACTCGACCATACTATTTTTTGTGTACTTATACAAACAAAATTTTTTAAAATTTTCTATTTTCAAGTTTTCATTTAAATATCGACAGATGCAACAACATTTGACTTTAGTCAGTTACTTTTAACTATAGCAAAGCATTTGCAATACTCCTGTATCAACAAAACTTAACAGAAGGTTGAAAATTTTGCAAAACAAAAATTGAAAATTTTCTTTTATAGGTTAGTGTTTTTAGAAAATTCAAATTTTTGACGTTTAAAAACTGCGATATTTTTGTATGAGCACATCTATATATCTTGAAAAGATGTTATAAAAATATGTTCGAAACACAGCATGACACTATGGCGATGATCATTTCCTTCTGAGAATTTTTTTTCCATTCTCTTTTTCAAATTTGATAAAAAAAAGTAAAGAAGGTGAGATATGAACCAGCTTTTATATGGGATATTGAGGTTTTAGCTGACAATGTGTCTAGTTTGGTTGTTTACTTGATACTGATAAGGCATTGTAGAGAACTGTAGAGAACTGTAGAGCTTCTGTGTTACTATATGCTTCAAAAGTCATTTATGAATCCTGAGCCTTAAAACTGCTCGAAAACAAGAGTTTGTTCTTAATTTGAGCAACACGTTTGATAAACTACAGCTTTGCATCTAGAACAAACCCAAAATGACTAAACTCATTTAAGCACCAAGTCCACCCAACATTCCAATACTCCAAAAATATCTCACATGTTATTGCTCTCACACAAAGTTTTTGTTGACTCTACACAGAGCAAATAAGAAGGCAATTTGAAGGAGAACTATAAAGAGTAAGAAGATAAAAAACAAGAATTTTTTTTATGAATGAAATCACAAGATTCAGAAGTTCGCGAATGAGAAGAGGAAGAAAAAGTTGTAAAAAAAAGATTCTCAAGTCGCCACTATAGCCATTAAAAGTAACATTTTATACCGAAAAAAAAGGAATAAAAGAAAACAAATAATAAACAAAAACAATATCCGGCGAATAAGTGGCAAGAAGAAATGAAGACGAGTATTTTTTGGGGTGAAACAATGGCAATAAAAAACATTGAAAAAATTTCCGGTGACCCCCACAAAGGTCGGGAATTTCATTTGATGTCGGAGGTTTAATTAAGTTTAAAAATGCAATATTCTTATGGGTTGGTGATCGGAATTAATTTAAAAAAATACATTTTGATTCGTTTTGGTTGTATAGTTGAGGCAACAGTATTTAATGATATCTACGTACCCTCAAAGAGTTTAGTCATTGCTCTAAATGAGCCAACAATTCAAAATTTTACACTAAAATTCAAGTTCCAAACTTTTCACTGTCTCACCTGTGGTTCTGGACATTAAAACTAAAAAAATCCTTCAATCTTCAAACACATTCCAAACTGTCATTAATCCACTAATCACATTAAATCAGCTATAAAACCTTTAAACAATAATAAAAAATTAATTTTTATTGTTTTTCGTTCACTTTCATAAAGAAAAATAAAAATTGAGAACAAAGTGTCGAACAATATGGAATCAAAGAACGTGCTTTTATAGAGGTTACATATGCCTAGGGTTACCATCTAGTTTTCATGAAAATACAGGACATTTGGTAATTTTTTTGGAAAAAAACAGGACATAGAGTAAAATTCGAAAATTAACGGAAATTTTCATGAAAAAAATACAGGACCAGGAACAAAATTTAAAAATTTATACAGGACAGGGTTTTGAAATACAGGACTGTCCGTTGTAAAACTACGCAGATGGTCACCCTACATATGCCTCACTTTAAGTCAACGACACTCACGAATATTTTCGCCGATCAGTAGAGAAGGAAAGAACAAATTTTTATGACTTTCACAGTTTATTCACAGCTTTATGAATTATCGATAAAATCGAGGTCGGATACATGTCTTATCAGTAAATTACAATATTTGTTGGATTTCCTCATTTCACCCTTCGATCAATGGCATTTGTTGTACACACAATATAATTCCATTTATCATCATGAATGCGTCAAAGCAAATATTAGAAATGTTTTTAAACATATGCGTAGACATAACGAGAAATGTGGCAGAACATAAAGTCTCTTGAGCTCATCACATACTTACATATAATTTTTTATGAATCATGTTGAAAAATTAGTTGACTAATTCACATTTTTAACTTAATATTTTCAGATCTATCCCGATCCAGATTCAGAAAAGGTCATTATGGGATCTCTCGTGTTCTGTATTCATCACAAGGAAGGCTGCAAGTGGTCTGATGAACTTAGAAAATTAAAGGTAGGTTGCAAATACAAAATTTTTAACTTTGAAGTTTCTGTGGCAATTTCAAACCTAACTGTAACTTCCAAGCTTTATTTCAAATATCTAACCGATCATTTCTCATTGTAGGCACATCTCAATACATGCAAATTCGATACGCTCCCATGCCCAAATCAATGCAATGCACAAATACCCCGTGTCATGATGTCCGATCATTTAGCATTCACATGCACATTACGTCGCGCTGTCTGCGAATTTTGCAATGTTGAATTTTCCGGTCAAGGTTTAGAGGAACATCAAGGCTTTTGCAATCAAGAGCCAATCTATTGTGAAAGTAAATGCGGAACAAGAGTTCTCCGTGGTCGAATGTCAATTCATCGCTCCAAAGACTGTTTAAAGCGAATGAAACGCTGTCAGCATTGCCAACGAGAATTCTCAGCTGATACATTGTCACTTCATTCATCGACATGCTCACGAACACCAGTTTCATGCCCACAGAGATGTGAGGCAAGTCCATTACCACGAGGCGAACTTGATGCACATCTGAGAGATGAATGTAAAGCTTTGTCAGTGCCATGTACATTCAAAGACGCTGGATGTAGATTTAAGGGACCAAGAAATATGCTCGAAACACATTTAGAGGCAAATACAGCTGCACATTTATCATTAATGGTACAATTATCAACGAAACAAAATCAACAGATTGCATCCCTTAAAAATGCAGTAGCAAAATTAAGCACAAACTACACAGGTACATTATTATGGAAGATTTCAGACTGGAGTACAAAGATGAATGAAGCAAAGAACAAAGAAGGACTTGAACTTGTGAGCCCACCTTTCTACTCAAGTCAATATGGATATAAATTACAAGCTTCAGTCTTTCTTAATGGAAATGGACCAGGTGAAGGAACACACTTGTCTGTCTACATTAAAGTACTGCCTGGCGAGTATGATGCTCTCCTAAAATGGCCATTCTCACACTCTGTTACCTTTACACTCTTTGAACAATGCCCAATTGGTAGTGGTGCACAAGGCGGAATTGCAGAAAGTTTCGTACCCGATCCATCTTGGCAAAATTTCCAACGACCTTCAGCCGAGCCTGATTCTTTAGGATTTGGATTCCCACGATTCATTTCACACGAATTATTATCAAGACGACCATTCGTAAGGGAAGATACTGTATTCTTAAGAATTAAAGCAGATCCGAGTAAAGTCGTTGCTGTATAAAATAAAATTCTGGCTACTTTTTGTCTTTTTTGTAAATTGTGCAATTAGAATTTTAAGAAATTTTTTTTAAATGCAAAAATTTACTCCCTTCATTGCTATAGGACCAAAGTTCTCTTTATGTATTTAGGATTGTATTTTGTATGGAATTTGGAAAAATTTGGTGATTGAAACAATTTTTTTGTAAAAGAAAATCGTAACTTTTTCAAATCGCCTAGACCTAGACTATAAATTGAAATTATTGTACAGAAATGAATAAGTTTGAAAATTAATTTTAAATTTTCAATATTTTTACGAATGAAATTTTATTCTTAAAATAAAAAAATGTATGTTTAACGATTTAATTACACTTGAAGTCATAGATTTTTAAGGAAAGAAACCACTGTAAGCTAAAGATTCAACTCAAAGATGATGAAAAGTCGTAAAATAAATGATTTTAAGTCTTATAAGTTCATTAAAAATTAAAAAATGTCTTTTTTTGTTGTTATGAATTCAAAACTATTTAATTTACAGATTTTAACAGCACTTAGAACTACAATTTAAGGTTGACTAACAACATCAAACGTGGAACTAGATGATGTTGGCATTGGATTGTTCCAATTTGTACAACAACAGATTTTATCGCCTTTAGTTCTGAACTTAATCTTTGTCTTCAAGCATCTTCCCGAATCACATAGTCCAAAAACTGTTCTTATTGGATGTCCAGACGCATTCAATTCACAATTTGGTAAGTATGGTGATGAAACTGGATTTCCGTCCATATCACGAGGTGCTATATCTGATGGAATAACATCTCCACCAGCTTCAACACAACTGACTTGTAAATAAACACACAAAAGAACCACAAAAATTAGACTTTTCATTTTCACTATCAATATGTCAATGAGCTTCTCGATTCCTCTTGTGTCTCGTTTTTAAAGATACTCGAGTCGTGACTTTAATAACCATTAAAATTAATTCTTATTATAATCGTGAAATTCACACGATTATTACTAGGCTGTTGTTTAGTATCAAAAAAATGGAAATAGGTAGGACAAGTAAGGTTGTTTACTAGGTTGTACTACGTTGGACATTGAATTCTTTAGACTGACTTCTTGACGAAGATGCTTTGGTTTTTGTTTTTATCGCTGACTGCTTCATTTCTTGCCCCAACTTAGTTCTTTATCCTTCTCATTTTCATTTCTTAAACTGCTGCATATCAAAATCTCTAAACTGATATTCAAACCCAAAAGTTCAGTCTTATCTACAGAAACAGGACAAACTCCCAAATGTCTTAATAATAAAAAATCTAATTAAAAATTCATAGCTAATTTTGTTTTATTATCTTGTCAACGTTAAGGCTGCACGATTTGAACATTGCCTTAACAAAATTAAAAGTGCACATCTTCCTCATTTAAGGACAATTTTAAATGAAATTATTTTTTACATGCTACAATTGTGTGCCCATCGCGGAAACGGAATAACATCTTTTATACTATGGATATTAAGGAGGTATTGAAGGTAACGATCAAATCCCATTCCAAAACCACCTGTTGTTACTGAGCCATATTTTCTCAAGTCAAGATACCACCTGAGGCTTTCGTCTGTTGACATTTTTGCCTTCAATCGGTCGTAATTGTCTTCACGGACACTTCCACCAGCAACTTCGCCGACTTGTGGTATGAGGAAGTCCAATGCTTCGACAATATTTGGATTGTCTTTCTTTTGTCTCATGTAAAATGACTTTTGTTCCTTGGGCCAGTCAATAACGAAGCACGGAACTTTACAGTAATTTGTCAGAAATATTTCCTGCTCTTTTGAAATGCCTTCCTTATAGTCAACGACAGTCTTGAATTTATTTTCATTATTTTTAATTATTTTAAAAGCTTCATCGTAAGTTAAGACTTGAAATTCCTTATCCATCCAATTGAATCGTTCCTCAATATTAAAATCCTTATTGGACTTATTAATCCTCATAATCTCGTCCGAAGACTTGTCAAGAAACTCTTTCGTGACTGTCTTAAACATTTTTGTAATTGTTCTAATGACGTCGTCTAGTGACTCGATGAAACTTTCTTCTAGTTCCAGCATGTAAAATTCTGATAAATGAATTGCTGATTTTGAGTTCTCAGCACGAAATGTTGGACCTAATGTGTAGACTTTTGTAAGCCCATGAGCCATAGATTCTAGATGCAGCTGTCCACTAACTGTCAAGAATGCTTTGCGATCAAAGAAAACTTCCTCATTTTTGTCAGTTTCGTTCTTTCTCATGACTTTGATGAGTTCCTCACTATCTGGTTTGACCATAAATACTTCACCGCCTCCCTCACAATCATTTACAGTTAAAATTGGTGTGTGGATTTGGATAAAGCCTTCGTTAAACAAATAATTGTGGATTATATTCGACAGCACATGACGGCATCTAATCATTGAGTTAAATGAGCTTACTCGGGACCGCAAATGAAGATTTTCACGAATATATTCTGGACTGTATGATGTTCTTGCGACGTATGGATAATTCTCAGTCGGACAGTCTCCAATGACTTTAATATTGTCAACTTTAACTTCCAGTTGACCTTTTGGTGTCTCTGTAAGCATCCCAGATGCTTCTATTGATGATCCAAATATCAATTTTGACTTGTCTGACTTATCACAGACAAGCTGTAAGTTTTCACCTGTCGTTCCATCGTTTATATCCGAAAACAAGAGTTCCTTCATTGATCGAATTGTCTTTACCCATCCTTTGACTTTTACTGGCTGATTAAGTTGTCTGGATCTGAAGATTTCCTTTAAAGTCGGTGAATTTGATGAGAAACTTCTCGAAATTATGTGCCGCAACATTTTAAAGTGCTGAATTATGCTACAAAATACGAGAATAATTTTGTAAGTTGAAGATCCACAAAAGGTAATATTAATAATACTTACCAGTCTTGACAATTAATATTTCATGTAGAACTGATGAATTCCTACTTAAATCTGTTTAGATCATCTCCAAAAATAGCTTATATCACTGTATTTAATTATATTTTATAAGTTTAAAATTTTTGATCGTGAAAATATCCCTAAACAAACCAACATGGGATATTTACATACCGTCCTCAATTTGAATAACTGTTTAAGTACAGTAAACTGCTAAGTAAATTGAAGTTATTCATCCTTAGACCCCCTTATCATGTAATATCGTAACGGTAAAATAAAATTTGAAAGAATAACCTGTTTTGGCGGGAATTTAAATAAATTCTCAGTTTGTTTACAAACATTAATATAATTTAAACTATCGTTTTGTGAATCAATTATAACTAATCAATGGATCCAGAGGAACTAGAATTCGTTGGAGAGAGTGTCTCAATCGGAATCATACCAAATTTCAACTTTGACGCTATTCATTTAATAGCTGGAACTGTTGGTAATAAAATTATCACTTAGTTTCTACAAATATGAAATATATTAACATTACAGGACCATTCAAAGCTGGATTACCACTTCACATACCACTATGGCTAGCAATTCATCTTAGAAAGCAACAAAAATGCAGAATAGTACCACCAAATTGGATGGATCGTGATATTTTAGAAGATAAAAAGGAAGAAGAGAAACGGGTTCCGTAAGTCTATATCCATCATTAATTAAGACTATAAAGCTAACACTTACCTTCAAATTCCAGTAATTTCACCAGCATGCCATGCGATCAATACATGATAGTATCAAAACTCATATTTAGTCATGCATCAGAAGACGTTCCAAGCATCGAAGAAATTAAGACATTCATTAAAGATATTTATGACATAAGGCAAGCAAAACTTCGAACAGCAATAGATTCATTCTTCATAGGAAAGAAGCAACTCGACGGTGCAACACAGGTATCGTTTACCAATCTCACAATGTTTGAAATCCATACAGTACGTTCGTTCCTGCCTTATGCATCTGATTTAATTGCTCGTCTCGAGAGAGTCTGTCAGCAGCACACATCCAATGCCAATGATACAGTACATTCAAACTCATTCTTCACATCATCATCGTCTGGTTATTGAAGTAGAAAATTGTTATATCTAAATAGTTAATAAATTTTTAATTTAAATGAGTTTTAATGCTTCTATTGAGTAATCAGAACCCCCCCTATGTTACATTTTGTTACAATTTTTCAAACCCCCCTCCCCCCTAAAATGCGAACGTAATAAGTGAACAGCCCCTTAAGTATAGATTCTAAAAACCTTCCCAAGAAAAATGTTCAAAGATTCCAGAATCACCTTATTAAGGTGCCAAATCACTTAATTATCAAACATTAATTAAAAATCAATCCAAAAATTATTTCAAGCTAGCTTTAAAACCTCATCAAATAGAACTCTAGCTTGTAATCAGTAGACTTTACATTCAATTAGGTTTTTTCACTTGACCTGCTTCATTTCTTAAGCTTTAATTTCTACGTAAAGCTCTTATTAAGTTCACAACCTCTTATTATTCGAATCAATCGTTTACAACATCTCCTGTAATTACATTTCAATTATGCTTCATTGATCTCTTATGAATCAATATTGATGTTTGCTGTATTCTACTTTTTGTATTATGTAAATTTCCATTTTTAATCGACATCATTTAATCATTCAATTGTAATTGTAGAACAAAATTAAAATTATCGAGTAGGAGCTTATTAATTTCAGGATGGTGTGAAAATGAAGCTATTTTCGTTTTGAATCATTAATTACCATGATTTAATGAATGATTGCTGTCATTATGAATAAAAAATCATTTTCACTTTTAATTAATGAGTTGATTTTGATTCCCGTGAGACATGTTGTGGAAATAGAAGTTTCTTGGTGACTCGAGGATCAGAAAAGCATAAAACATTGCTCGAAAATCCATTAACAATATTATTAAAACCAATAAATCAATCCATTGTTCATCACAACAAACTAGCTACAATTATAATTTATAAATTAATGACGATATTATTTTAATTGTTGAAATGGAAATTAAACTCCCGTAAGTCACACAATTCTTCGCGGCATTTCATTACATTTTCATTTCAATTCTCAAAGCTCTCCGTTTATCATTTTCCTTAAAAATTAATTTAATGAAATAAAGTTTACTGAAGAAATGTTGACAATAGTTTCCCGAGACAGTTCAAGCGTTAAAATTATGATGTCTTGAGTTTATCCAAGAAATTAGTAGATGAACTCAAAACTAGAATTACAGACACTAAGTTGATATTAAGAGAGATCCTAATATAATACTTTGAGTCTTACAAATGATAGATGTCTTTTGAAGTAAAAGTCGAACTTTTATTCAGGGCAAGATTGAATCCAGAGACAAATCTTGGTTTGAAGTCAGAACTGCCTTCGGATCAGTGATTATTAAACTTTTTAGATTACGACTCACTCAACTTAGGACTATTCTGACTCGTTAGCACTCTTGCAGACAAAAAGTGTATCCATTAGCACCACTGTTCTTATATAATCGATTTGTGTTTATTCAAAACGAAGGATTAAAGAAAATATTTGAAAGTCATTTCTAAAGTACACGAAAAATGAACTTATAAGTGCTTTTTAAACAATATTTTATTCCCAAAAAGAATAATACGGAACCAGAAAGAAATATTTTAAGGATAATATGAAGAAGTAAGCTTGAAACTCGAGTACGGCAAAAAGAAACAAGAGAGAGAGCAAGCAAAAGTTTAGCAAACATAAAAAAGAGCGAATCTACCTTAATTCAATTTCATATTTTTCTTCTTTCTGACAGTAAAATTAAATTACACTTCAGAAAGAACAAGAAGATCTGCCTTGTCTGCCTCTTTGTGTGTATGTAACACGACAAAAAATGATTTATTTTATTTATTATTAGTATTACTGTTATTATGTAATTTTGTTGTTGCTTCTGTCGCTGAGATATAAGAAAAAAGATTGAAATTACCGCACGTGCATTTCTGAAGGCTATAATTTGATTCCGTTGTCCTTTGATGTTGTGATGCTGCTAATAATTTCCGAGTACGATGACAGATGAGAGCTTTTTCCCCCTGAAAATTAAATGACGCCTAAATTGATAGTAACGCTTATGCTAGCATAAAGCTCGTGTTGATTTAGTAAATGCGTTATGGTGAGATGATGTAATTAATGCTTTAGTTATTTAATTAGATATGCATTTGCTCGCTATGCATTTGATTTATTTTTAAGCGTATGATGCATCTGCTGAGAGTTAATTAAATTCTATTGGAACCTATTATGTTCAACGGATCCCGAGTGCTACATATTTTCTGAACATTAAGCTAATGTGGATGGTTTTGAACTATAACATGGTTTTATTGAATTCATTATAATTATTGTGCATCCTGCACTTCTCGGTATTGAATATTATTAACAAAAATGCCTCGCCTGAAATCAGATCATCGAGATTGTCATTGATTTCCCATCCAATATACGTCATACACATACACAAACCCATAATGAGCTCATAATACTCTATACAAGTGATTATCAATAAAGTTCCTACATATGCTCGTGCTGATCCATTTTATCAACTTTCATTAAAAAATAATTTTTTTTTTGCTCTTTCGAATACATTGAGTTCATCGAGAGAATTAAGTTTAATGAAATATTCAATATGAAGGCATATAAATCTGTATTAATATGAACTTTATTAATCCTGTTTCATTGGGGGATATTTCCCAGTTTAATTCAATTTGCAAGGCATAAACAATACACAAAAAAAAAGAATAAAAATCTCTGCTTTTAGCAGTGAAAAGTTTTCGCTTTATTATGTAAGTCAATTATGAAAACAATGTGTGCTGTTGCCTCATAAATTTTTCACACATTATCGGACAGATTGTGGGTCATAGGACCGACCGAATTTTCGGGCGAAATTCGCCCGAATTTCGGCCGAAGTTTGTTTAAATTTCGGCTGAAACTTCTGCCGAAGTTGTTTCAATTCGCCCGAAATTTCTTCCAAAAACTTGATTTTTTTTTAAAATAAAACATTTTTTTAATAATTTTTTGTATGAGCCGAATAAAAACAACTTCGCCCGAATTTCGGCCGAAGTTTGTTTAAATTTCAGCTGAAAATTCTGGCGAAGTTGTTTTTATTCGGCTGAAAATTCTGGCGAAGTTGTTTTTATTCGGCTGAAAATTCGGGCGAAGTTGTTTTTATTCGGCTGAAATTTCGATGACCGTTCAAAACACCTAAAGTTTTTTACCTCTAAACATTTCAAATTTATAAAACCTAAATTTTCTGCATCTAGAGTTTTTAATCTCTATATACATTTGTATATAGGTGTTAAAAACTGCACGTGCAGTTTTTTACTTCTAATGATTTTTCCATTAGAAGTAAAAAACTACACGTGTAGTTTATAACTTCTATATACATTTATATATAGAGATTATAAACTGCACGTGCAGTTTTTAATTCCTAATGAAAAAATCATTAGAAGTAAAAAACTGCACGTGCAGTTTTTAAAACCTATATACTAATGTATATAGAGATTAAAAACTCGAATTGCAGAAAATTAATCCTCGGATTTAACTTTAAGCTTTTTGCTGAATTAACCAATTTTGATCATTTAAACGGTTTTGAGTATGTTATTGACAAGACTAATAACACAAATGGACAATTCTATCGATTGACGTTTTCAAAAAATTCGTCAATGAAACATTATTTATCTTTATTAAGCTATCTAGTCGTTCTTAACACCAAATATATTTATGTATGGTGATTAAATTATATCCTTTTGTTGCAGTTGGTTCCTTCTACATGCTTTAAATTACAAAATATTTGACTTTTTGTAAGCGTTGCACTTGTACAGAATGCAAAATTTTGAACTTTTACGAAAGGTTTTCTCAGACTACCGCCATTTCGTTTCGGACTTCTTCGAAATTAATTTCGATTTCTTCGACATTAGAGCCGAAAATTCAAATTTCAAAAAACAGTTGCATTTTGTAAACAATAAATTATTTTAATTAATACCAATTCTGCACAAATCCCAAAGTTCTTCATAAATTATTAATTTTATATTTTTTTTATCCATTCTCAACTTTATTAAGAATAAAATTTGAGCAAAATGAGTAAGTGCATGGTAAAATCTGGTTTAACCGAATGGAAAAATCATTAGAAGTAAAAAACTGCACGTGCAGTTTTTAACACCTATATACAAATGTATATAGAGATTAAAAACTCTAGATGCAGAAAATTTAGGTTTTATAAATTTGAAATGTTTAGAGGTAAAAAACTTTAGGTGTTTTGAACGGTCATCGAAATTTCAGCCGAATAAAAACAACTTCGCCCGAATTTTCAGCCGAATAAAAACAACTTCGCCAGAATTTTCAGCCGAATAAAAACAACTTCGCCAGAATTTTCAGCTGAAATTTAAACAAACTTCGGCCGAAATTCGGGCGAAGTTGTTTTTATTCGGCTCATACAAAAAATTATTAAAAAAATGTTTTATTTTAAAAAAAAATCAAGTTTTTGGAAGAAATTTCGGGCGAATTGAAACAACTTCGGCAGAAGTTTCAACCGAAATTTAAACAAACTTCGGCCGAAATTCGGGCGAATTTCGCCCGAAAATTCGGTCGGTCCTATGATTCACGCCCTATCGGACATAACAATAGGTTATCAGTTATAGTTGATCAGACTCTCGTCTGACTGTCTCTTTCAGAATTTGGACTATAAATCATAAAGTTTTGAATGTGATTAAGATAACAGTTTTTTATGGTTCGATGGGGTAGTTTGTGGGGTTTGTTACAGCTCCAAAATCTTAATTGGTATAATGTGAATAAATTACAGAATAACAATGTGGGTCATTTATTTTTATTGTCGGTTGATTCATTACATTTATTAAAGCCATAAAGTTCTTTATATCACTTTAATTTGAAAGCATTTTTAATTATCAATAACAATCGTGGATTTCCTTTTCATGGCATTTACATGAGTATTGAAAGTTTAAAATTGAATTACTCAATTAAAAGATAAACTTAATTTTGAATATGATCATTAATTTCAATTTTTGATTATATTTTAATTTATAAATTAAATAAGCTAGATTTTAAAA